CGAAAGCGTGCTAATTTGACTTACTCCATGGGAGCCTGCTCGATGATGGAAGCTTCGATTGAGCTCATATTTCTAGCATAGGCAGGACTAGTCATCAGCAATATATGATAAAAATTTCGACTCATTTGCTTCTTTCCTTCAAGACAAAAAAATTTGCTCCCTCTTGAACCATACTTATTCTTTTCCCCATTCTATTTGAAAGAATATTATCATTTTGACAAGCGCACACATACGATCGATAACAGATTAAAGAATCATTAGTTATTCGGGCCAATTTACCCATGCTCAATGGTCCGATCGTTCAGTACCAGTGTACGTGTATTCCGACGAGGTAAAATCAAATTTATGGGATAGAAAACGAATTATAAGAAAAGGCTCTGGTGGTTAACGTAGTATCTTCTCACTCTTGACTTTCAGCATTTATAATTTCTCGTAGCATCATTTCCACACAGTCGAGATCTATTTCTTTCTCGTTTTTCATGTAATGTCATCAGTATTTGTTTAGTTCTCTTGATATTGAGATGACTCATCACTGAACGGGTTTAGAATTTTAGTCTCAAGGTCAAACGTTTTATTATAAAAGAAAAATGTGAAAGTTGTATGTAACCAAACATTTTTCCTCATCATACTTCGTTTTCCTTCTTGCCCCCCGTCTTCGTTGTACGGATGAAAGTAAAAATAAAATAAAATTCTTAGTTTTCTCTCATGTTGTGTGTGTCTATATGGAAATGAAGAAGAGAGAAAGCGAAAAAACATTATGTACACATAGTCAGCCGTAGTTTTTTCATTTTTTTGTAACAGTCTGTACGAGGAGCAACTTGAAAATGACCGTATCAATAGGTAGGTCAAAATATAGAATTTTGATTGTAATTGTTTGTTTTAATTTCTTAATGTTTTTAAATTTGATTAAGATTTTTAATTTTTTATTAAAACTTATTAAAATTCTTAAGATGTTGGCCGTAACTATTCGTAGAGCTATGTTTTTAATCTTGCTCATTGATTCACAAAATGAACAGTACTTATTCTTTATTTTCAATAAGAACAAAGAGACCAAAAGGAAAAGGAACATTTTTTTCGTTATTTGTTGTAAGAGAAATATGTGTCATCGTGATAAAGCGGCAGACGGTTCTTGTAATATACTAATGTATATGATACTGGACGAAGAAATGGTCCAAGCAGAGGATTTTCTTGCAATGGCTACAACGAATGAATGCAAACGCGTCACATTTCGAGAGCTCACAGTTAGACTGTGGAAATTTGAAGCAAACTTGGGTGACTGTTTGAAACTGTCCAGGATGTGTATCGATATAACCACTCTTGTACCACGCATAACGAATCATAGGCATAAAGACAGGTGCACAAACTTGACTGTGAATGAGGGAGTGAAGGCGAATAAGGTTATTACGATCAGCCAGATGAATATCGATGCTGTCGAGAATGACCCGATCGTAAACACGATGCGCAATAACCTTATACTGTCGATTAAAGAAAACATCGAGTGGTTGAATTTCCATTCGCTTGACGCCTTTCATCTTTTCATAAATTCCCTTTCCATCCCCCTGGCCTGACCAGCTGTCCGAGAGGAGAAGCACTTTGCGTGATGAAGAGATAGCACGTACAAGCACATGATCTCGCCAATATTCGACTAAAGATGTGGTTAGTTTCCCCGATCTACTACCACTAACCACAACATTTTTGGCAGAGAAGAGATTAGCCTTGATATTATCGCTCATGCGGCCATTTCGCTCTTTTAAACAGATAAATATGGGCCCAACGACCTGTCCTGACAGACTTATTATTGGCTGTATCGTGTAACTGTGAGTGGTGGCATTGAGCGAATCCTAACAAAGATACATAAGGCTGTTAATTATAAGGCGTAACTATGATGGAATTCAAGAAAATCAAGACAACCAATAAACTCTAGCAATTCAACGAATTTCACAAGGCACATCAGATGGTTAGCTATACATCCAACCATGATGGAATTCTAGGAATTCAAGAATATCGAGAAAATCGAGCAGTTCAACGAATTCAAGAGATTCAACAAATTTTACCAAGACACATAAGATGGTTAGCTACGGGTCTCAACTATGATGGACTTCAAGAAATGGAAGATAATCAACAAAATCAAGAATAACTAGCAATTCAAGCAAATCTAGCAATCCGAAGAATTTCGTAAAGACACATAAGTTAGTACGCTATATGTGTAACAAACATGGAATAGAAGGGATAGCAGAAAATCTCCAAAATCAAGAAAATCAAGCAATTGCAGAGATTCGAGGAATTTAACAAAGATACATAAGGTTGTTAATTATAAGTCGCAACTATGATGGAATTCGAGAAAATCAAGAAAATCTAGCAATTGAACGAATTTCACATTGGCACATAAGATGGATAGCTGTAGCTCCAACCATGATTGAATTCAAGGAATTCGAGAAAATCAAGACAATCTAGAAACTCTAGCAATTCCAGCAATTCTAGAGATTCAACGAATTTCACAAAGACACATAAGGTTGTTAATTATAAGTCTCAACCGTGATGGAAATCAAGGAATTCAAGAAAATCAAAACAATCAAGAAACTCTAGCAATTCAACGAATTTCACAAGGCACATCAGATGGTTAGCTTTACGTCCTACCATGATGAAATTCTAAGAATTCAAGAATATCGAGAAAATCGAGCAGTTCAACGAGTTCAAGAGATTCTAAGAGATTCAACGAATTTAACCAAGACACATAAGATGGTTAGCTACGGGTCTCAACTGTGATGGACTTCAAGGAATGGAAGATAATCAAGAATAACTAGCAATTCAAGCAAATGTAGCAATCCGAGGAATTTCGCAAAGACACATTAGTTAGTACGCTATAAGTGTAACTATCATGGAATATATCGAATTGCAGAAAATCTCGAAAATCAACAAATTCGAGCAGTTGCAGAGATTCGAGGAATTTAACAAAAATACATAAGGTTATTAATTATGAGTCGGTAACCTCATGTTCTAAAAAATGGAATTATTCTCTGTTGAAAGCGAAAAACATAAAAATATTTTCAGATGATCATCTCCTTTCTGTTAACAACTTTTGTACCCACACTTTTCTTTGAAAATGCTTATTTCGAGCGAAATTTGGTTCAAGGTGTTTTTTGCTCCAAAATTCGATCGGTTTGGCCAGAGCGGAACAACTCAGTCAAAACTTGACGGAAAGCTTGGCCGAATTTTTATAGATACAGCTTGTTGCCCTCTATCGATTGACATGAAAATGGAGGTTATATGTGGAAATCGGAAAATTTTATTGAAATTTTTAAAACCGAGCAAAAAGTCGAGGAAAAATTTTAAGAATATTTTTGTCGAAAACTAGAAGACTGGGAACCGAAAAACTCATAGCAAATACTCTTCAAAGTGTCCTCTGCAGACTGAAAAATAAAACGGATCAGGGGACCCCCTCTTAAGATTAATTGAGAAATTCAATCTCCTCTCTTTCCATCAATTGAACAATTGGAACATACCCATGTTTCTTTTTGTTCCATCGCTCTTCAATGTTTTTGTACTTCTTTGATAATGATGTGTACATTTGCAAAGCGGCAGTTCTCTGCACAGCAATAGTTTCTTTACAAATGGCATCAATAACAATATCCAGTCCCTTGTGAATCTTTTTGTTTAATTCGATATTCTTCAGAAACCACATCCTCTTTTCGCTTGACCCTGTTGTTCTTTGAATGTGGTCAATTTTATCATTTTCATCTAATTCGGCTCCATCTCTGTACCTTTGTAAATCACCTAAAAAATCGGAACTTGCATAATTGTTGATAAAATATTTATTTCCGGGTGTCGAAAGAGTCCTTAATCAACTTCCCGCTGTCGAACAAGGTACCTTCAACTTTTAATTTTCTAATATGCGCTTAGCATATTAGCGCTTAACATATTCATGATTTACAGTGAGCTCTAGTTATTGCTTGCCTTTGTTTTCTCACATCTTACCTAGAAGAATGTTGCTCCACATGTGGACTGTTCCCATATATAATTTGTTAAATCGAACAATAAACTTTTCATATGGAGATAACTGAGACTCATTATCAGCTGACTTTTTCTTTGGTTTAGTTGATTTAGTAGTGACTAGTTCATATTTATCAGCACTTCGACACACATTCTCGAATATTTTTACCATATCACTTTTTATAGAAGACTCAACTGAGTTTAGACTATTTTCTTCATTACTGATCCAAGTAGAAAATTGTGTTGATTGTTTTTTTATTTTGAAAATATTCGGTACATTGGTATGAAGTTGTGATACATCATATTCATCATCAGCAGGTGTCATGTCAATAAATTTATCATCCATCACAATATCGGTTGTCTCTTCTTGTTTCAATAGTATTTTCAAATCGAACTGATTCATTTGAATTTCATGATGTTTTTCAATCACACACTTGAACGCTTTTTTGACGTTGGCGCCAAGTAAATCAGAAGCTGTTTTAGTTGTCAACAGAGTGTCTTTGCATCTTGTAGTGGTGGCGCTGTCATGTTCGTTTTGAAATGTACTCGATGTTATTTTAATTCGAATAGGTAGTTCATCTGTCTTATCAGAAGATTCAGTAACTGATAACAGAAAAAATAGAAATTTTTTTCAAAATAAAGTATTACTAGAAGGAAAAGTAGTAAAAGATAACTCTCTCATCTCCCATATGAGGAATTCTCATGATTGATTTATTACCGGGAGAAAACTTCTTCTAGACATAGTGGTGTCAGTTGAATTATAAGTAAACGTTTAGGAAAAAAATTTGATTAACAACTAAGTCAAAAATAAACCAATTTTTTGAGTTTAAACAAAAAAGATGCGTGAAATCGTTTGAGCGATAGATAAATTGAGGTTTTTTGTTGCTTCAAATAAAAACCTCTATACTTAAGGAGTTTTTTGGACAACTTTCATTTTTTATCCAAAATCATAAGAAATGAAAGTTGTCCAAAAAACTTGAAAGGCACATTAGTCAATTCAGCTTTTGATGTTGATGGCAAATACGAAAATTGGTTTTGCAAAAAAATTGAAAGTTTGACGGCGAAAACTGCAAAATACGAGTGCATTTCCTTGGTTTTTGCTACCTGTTTAAAAAAAATTTATTTTCTCAGCAATGAAACAATATTTTGCAAAACCCATCCCTAAGTTTTTTCATGCCCTTATGACGAATGTAACCATGCAAAAATATTGGCTTCATCTCTATTTTAAAAGAAAGAGTTGATTCCTCCGGCAGCCACCGATGAGGTATTGCATTATCAGTGAAAAAATCTAAATTTTTAATGGTCATATAATATTTGAATGGCATCGAAACTATTTTTTCTAGATGGAGTTTTGCATGTAGAATTAGAATAAAAAGCTTTCAAAGCTCCAAAACTCACTAGGTTTGAGATTTACGTTCAGTTTTTAAAATGTAGACCGTTTTTAAAATATTAAATTTTAGTTTTTTAAAATTTTCAACCCTCAGAAATTTGTTGGAAGGCTAAAACACACATATTCTGATTCGGCTCGATCAGCTCTATCGATCCATGTAAAAATATCGAAAACTAAAATGCGCTCAAGTTTTGAATTTCCGACACCCTAGTAAATCAATAAATATGATCATACACCGTTTCTTGTGAAAATAGAAAAGCTGTGATAAAATCCTTGAGTTTTCCCTATATAAGTTGTCTCTCCCATTTATTTTGTTTCTTCGAGTCTGCATAATTCGAGATGGTTTTTTGAATAAATTCACCTTCACTGTTTAATTCTTCTTCGTCAAAACCATGTTTCGTAGGTCTTTCAAAAATATTGTTAACCATGTCATCTAAAGGTACAATAGTATAAAGCTAAGTTCTACTTTAGAGAGAATTGATTACCGGTTTTACTTTCAATTGAAGCACGACTATTACTAAACAGTTTTTCATTTTTTTGATTGTCAGTCACATTTCCATTATTCAAACTTCTCGTTTCTTTCTTTTGATCTAAATATAATACGTTTGATATGAAAATAGTTAAAAGATCTTCTGAAAAACAGACGAATACCTTTTGTAGTAGATGTATATTCAGTTGTACAGTCCATTTCGAAATTCTCATCTGTCTGTTGTTCATAACACAGAATATAAGCATTTGAGTATGCCATGGAAGTCGAGTCATTCGGTAGTTTATCAGCTTTCAAAACATCAGACATATTCATATCAGTCACATTTTTATCATTGATTAACTTCCAGGCTTTATTACTTTTAACATAGGTATAATAATGACCACTATCTATCGAAAGTCCCTGATGTACTACCATTCCATAGAGTGTGTAACGTGATGACGAATGTGACTGATCTTCTGGTACAATAAACGGGCCAATATCAAGAGTTTTAGGATGTTCCATTATCATGCAGATTTTTGTATCGTCTGAATGAAATCATTTCAATTGTATTAATAAATTTTTTGGAGGATTATTAATAAATGTACGCCGATATTTATAGGTTGCTCCACAGACTTATGACAATTATTTAGAATCTTTTCCTCGCTCAAAAAATATTCTTTTAAACATTCGACAAGAGAGGTATTGACCAATGGCACACGCAGTATGCATTGCTCCTCTGAATTTTAGGTATCATCACCACATTGGAGACAGTGTCTTTGTTCAATCAATTTAAATCCGAAAGTATGCATGACGATTGATGGCCAGTGAAATATTGCTTGACTTTTACGAGCGATTTCATCATATAAAGAATGACACAATTGACAGGTAATAGTACTTGACGTCATTGTAACAAAAGCCTGAGCCATAAATTCTTCTGCATCTTGCTGAATACCAACGACATATTTCGAATCAACATAACGTAATCGGCTAATAAAAGCATCAGGCTGAATTGTTGCACCAGGCGACCGAACGTCACTCATCAGGCAATCAAGTTCACATTGAAAACACCAGTCTAAAGAATCACATAGTTTATATACAGTTACATTCGTTTCATATTCAATATTCAAGTTAAGTCTCATAGTTATTAAACACGAATTCTCTTCAGAAAAATAGTATTTAAAAGGATCTACCTACCGAGTCGCAACAGGACATCCACTTCATTTATTGATCGAAGTAATGAAGCAAATTTACAAGCTAAAACTTGAATGCAGGCATTCACATAACATCCCATGTTGCAAATGCCCATGTGCCTCCCATGTTGAATAAACCGCGATGATACTCTCGATTTTCAATGAATGTTAGAGAGAAACGTTTTTTATTCGGTAATAACTATATTTATATAACTTACGTGGTGTTGAACTTCTCACACTTTCAATTGTACTTTTGCTTTGGTTTTTTTACGATATAATCTTCTAAACATCATGGAAAGTGTATTCCCATTTTTAGACTATACCAGATCTGTTTACCTTTCTTTTCCATTAGTTTTGGCTTTTTTTTTTGAAAAAATTCTTATCGGGCGATGGATTATAGTCTAAATATACGTAAAATAGTTTTTATTAAATTAATTTATTCTAAAGTATGTTACAGCTATATATAGTTATATGTTCTACTAGCTTAGCAAACGGACTAGCTAGTTCTTTTTACTGTGGTTTATTAAATGTAAGAAAATTATCAAAAAATAAGGAAACCATAAAAGGTTGACCATAAATCAAAAGAGGCTCGTGATAGACTTGTTTTTTACCCTACTTTTACAACTTCAATGACAAATGTTAACAAGTTATTTAGTAGTTGAGATGTCCTGGAAAAAGCGTATCTTTTTAAAACCAAAAGATAACTTCTTGTTCTTATGATAATCAATACGTGTCCTCATTTTCGACCCCCTTCTGTAGCTCTTCTTCCTTTCAATTACTTGACCAGTTGAATAATATCTATCTTATAATTTGAAATGAGTATTACTAGCGAACTAGAACAGATGGACATAACAGTGACAGATCAAGAGAATAGACGACATCAACGGCAATCAATCTAGTAGTAAACTGAAAAAGAACAAGACAAAAGATTCAGAGAAAAAGATAATCTGTGATAGTTACTCCCAGTTTATGTTATATTTTGTGCTGTATTTTAGGCGTATTGAATATTCGGCTCAAATTCCCATTTTTCTCCAGCCGTCGTGGAAAATCCTCGTATGTACCTTCTCGGGAAATCCTATATCTGTCCCATATTTTATATTCTTAGGTAGTTTTAACGCAACAAAAAGTGAATTATTGAATCAAATTGCCCGTCATTACATTGCAGCTCATCCCAATTGGAAAATCAAAATTTGACTGTAAGAACTATTCTCGGTCATTAATAAAAAATTAAGATATTTCATTCAAACGATCAAGAAAAACCGCAAAAATTATGGGTAACAATCCTTTGTCTTACTGACAAATATATAACTTCTGTCTTCTACGCGGCTCTATCAGCATTGATATCAGCTAAAGTTATGTTGTGATACCTGCTACTTTTATACGTTTTTCGCCACACGTTTTAGCCATATCGAAGATTAAAGATGTTGTGATCACTTGAGGACTCGACTGATGCTCATCAAAGAAAAAATTATCTGTTGCTGAAAGAGAAGAAAAAGTTAAGAATGTCGCATTAATTCTCGTAACTTTGACATATACTCTGATTAGTGATATCTGCCAGCACATTTTCTTTTCCTTTTAAGTATCTTTTTGATAGGAACTGATTTATTTCATTTTCGGTGTCTGGATTTAGATTCTCATCTAAATAAGAGGAAAGCGTCATAGATCAGTTCTGTCACATCGAAAAATGTAACCTCACCTTCACCGGACGCTGCATCATACTCATAATTTTGAGTCCAAGTTTTGGTAAACTGTGATTTAGTGGGAGAGGTAATTATTCGTTTTTCGAGTGGTTCTTCGTTTTTTTTCTCTCTCAAAATTGTTATTGACGACTTTGTCTTGTTCTATACAATGAAGATAGTATATTTCTCATAAAAACAATTGAAAGTACATACTTTACTACGTCTCGGTTGTTGAAGTTCCTCAATAGGCTCAGTGGATTCAATATTTTTATCCGAGGTCAAGTCATTCAGATCTTCATCGGGATTTGTATATTTTTGAAGATGTAATATTTGTAAATGGTTCAATCTACCGTGATCTTCCATACAGCTTGTATGAACACGCATATAACATCGATCTTTTTTACAAATATAGAACTCAGATGTGTCAGTAATGGTAGGCGAACGACAAACACATCTCAGCTGGATTAGACGTATCAATGAGGGGCATCGATCTTTTTCTGATGCGGTTGTTGGTCGAATTGGAAATTTTTCTATACTTGGATGTTCGTCAAGATTTTCGATAAATTTTATTATGTCAGCTGAATCAAATTCTGAAGATGAAATTTCTGTTTCATGAGCATTAAATTTCAAATATGATAAAATGGCATAACCCAACGACCAATACATGTCAGAATCGTTTTTCATCTCATGGTGAGGTACCGATTCTATTTCAATTGCATAATGTGTGTATTGATATGCTTTACAGTTTATGTAATGGTTGAGTAATTGAAATAGGACCGTAGAGACTCCTCAATAATTTGTATCCATAACCGAAAATCTCCGAAATTGTTTAATATTTGCCACTGTCACTCAGTGGCAACCATCATGCATGATTAGAATTGTTCGAGCCTTTCTTTAAAGAATCATACTTATGTTTCGATCAGCACAAGTGTTATATAGGCAATGAACCTTGATAAAAGCAGACTTTAGTTGACCAAGAACTCTTTTGATCAAAGTTATAGCCCAAATTGTTGACTTTTGAACTAGATGATTTTCAGTGAGTACCATTGTATCATACAGTTCTCTTTCTGTTCCAGGCAAACTCATCTCGTCTAAATAAAGAAAAGATCTAATATCTATCTACTACGATCTCAACTCTTTTAATATACCAAAACCATCCTTTTCTCCCATCACCCACAACTTGTCCAATTTTTCCTTTTTCTCCTTCTCTTGCGTTTCTTCATCTGAAAATGATTTGATAATGGAATGAGTTTCACTGCTAAATTTTTTTTGTTGATTCGAAGTTACTGCAGGTTGCACACTTGTTTAAACAGAGATTTTTACATTTTTATTTTTTAATTCTCTTGGTTCCTTCGACCAAAAGGCTGTTTCTCCTTATTTTTGTGACTCACTGATCCTAAGATCTGACTGGTTTTGCTTAGAAAATTTTCCGATCGTGTCTTAGTCTGGTCCGTGGTATTTCTTGACATTTCTACCACTTTCTTCCATGAATCAATTTCACCTTTTCTGATTTATGTGCAGAAAGATCGGTGAAGAATTATACAAGCGAATACAGCAGTGTCAAGATATTTAATTTTGTTAATTGTAGTCACAGCGTTAATTTTCGAGAAGCTGCACGTAATAAGAAGGTTCATTGTTAACACAAACCTACCGTTTTCGAATGTTCAGGTTGAGAGATGAAACAACTTGACGGTGATATTATTCTATTTTGAAAAAATTGTTGTCTTTATCACTGGTAAGCGTTTTACTGGTGAAATTAACATATTCGGTAAAATAATTCTAATTTTATGATCTCGTAAATGGACATGAGAGGGTACATCTAAATAGATGAGTGGAAGACACTAAGAATAAGTTTATTTGCTTCAAACAGTGATTGGAGAGAGAAAAACCGCGTTTCTCGGTGGCGGCAGT